ATGGGGTGTACCCAAGGGGCACTGGCTTGAAATTGGTCCATAATCTCATTTTCCATGCACAGTGAGTGGTGGGCAGAATGGCCTTGGTTTTTTAAACCGCTATTTCATTCTCCGCCCGGAGGTCTGGCATGACTAACTGAATTTATCCCAGTTTCTGTTTCTCCTGAGCCTTTTTGTTTTTTAAAGACAGAGTTTCATGTAGTCCAAGCTGATCTAGAACTCACAATGTATCAGAGGATGACCTCAAAATTCCTGATCCTCCTGCTTCTACCTCCCATGTGCTGGGATTACAGGGGTGCACAATTGCACCCCGCTCAGCCTTTCTTTTTGTTCAGCCCTCCTCCACATATTGCAGAGCACTGTTACAACAACCTATTCTGTCATCACAGCCCTGTGAGGATGGGTTATGCTTGCCTCCATTTTCAGATGGGGAAACTGAAGTTCAGAAGACTTGGTCTAGTTGATGGTAGTCAGCACAGCACTTCATGTCCATCTGACAGCCCGTACTGTGTGTGTAGTCCAGGTGACCCAGCCAGTGCTACACTGAACCTTCTTGTGTGTGTGACAAAAGCATACAGTGTACCATCTACATTGGAAAAAAAACTGGATTCCAGGGCACATCTGACTCAGGATTTGGACAAGGGCTCCAGGCCCTGCAGAGGCCAAAGGGCAACCATCTGGTCTGTGTGTCTCTCCAGTTCATAGGAGTGAAGGCGCAATCCTCCAGGAGGATCTGCTGGCTCCGTCTCATCTCTCCTTCTCTCCTTTGGACCTGCTGAGTCGAAGCCCCTCCGCTGGAGCCCCTGGGCTCACACAGGCTCATTCACTGCCCTCACCTATATCTGCAAATAGTCTCTTCTAAGACTTACTCTCTGTAGGCACAATGTGCCCTGTTTCCCACTCAGCCCGCCTTTATCTCCAACCCACATGTGGCCTTCCAGCACTCATAGAGTCCTCTCTTTCTCTTGTCTGTCTCCCATTAAACCCCATCACTGAATCAGACCCACCAGGGCAGAGATCTTGTCTGTTCTTGTGAATCCACTGCTATTATCCTTTGAGGTACAGCTACAGGCCTATGGTGTTTCATTTGTTTTTTTTTTTTTTTTTTTTTTTTTTTTTTTTTAGATGAACACCTCATTTTTTTTTTGAGACAGTCTCATTATGTAACTCAGACTGGCCTGGAACTTGTGATTTTCCTGTCTCAGTCTCCCCAGTGCTGGGATCACCACCAATGCTCAGCTCAACCCAATTTTACAGACGGTTTGCCACTAAGACTCAAGAGGTTCTGGTCACTTTGGGTGGTTAAGAAGAAACAAATCAGATCTGCATTGCTGGAACCCATCCTGCTTCAAGCTGTACACAAGCATATTCACATACAATTCACACAAGATGGAGGAGCTGCCCTGGCTCTGTCAGCTCCAGCTGAGCTCTTTCCCTGGTCACTGTAGAGAGACCCTCTGATGGAGCCATTGCCAAGTGACCACAGAACTGGGGCCAGCCACTGGCCTCCAGGAGCTATGTGTCCATCAGGGGCCTGATCCTTCGTGCTCAGAGTCAAGCACAGCCCTAGCTCTGAGACCGGGGACAGCAGCTGGTAGTCTGCTCCCTGCTGGGCCTGTCTTCTTTAGTGGCACACGCTTAGCCCCTCTCAGGCCAGTTTTCCCCCATGGCTTTCACCCTGTGGTCTCCTCTACCTGGGCATTTCTTTCCTCTTTTTCTGCCTGGGTGGTCTTCATCGGGGTGACAGAGAAGATACCACCTCCTTCAAGAAGTGCCAGCCTGTCCTCTGAGTACCTGCCATGGTGTCCTGGCCCGTAGATGGATTCCAGACATGTGAGGATTTGGGGTACTGGCATCCCTGCTACTTCTATCGGGTTTCCTTTGTGAGCTGGGATGACCCATGGACAGGGATACCTGCCCTGGCCTGTGTTGTACCTGGGGCTCTGTGGAACAGGTTTGTGAATGAAGGGAGAGAGGGAGAGAGGACAAAAGGGAGGGAGGGAGGGAGGGAAGGAAGGAAGGAAGGACCTGTACATAGAGACTGGGAGATGAGCTCTCTGGTGAAGTGAGCATCTAGTAGGACACTTCCCCACTCTGCTCTACCTTGCCCTATTTCCAGCCAATCCTAACATCTACCGAGTACTTTCACTACCCTGTGCAAGCCCAGACCTAATATCTGTCAATTCATTTGACCCCCTCCACCAACATCCATGAGGTATTGTTATTATTTTCTACTTACAGTGGTGGAGACCGAGGCCTGGCCCATGTCCCCACCCTGCTCTAGCTGGTGAGGCCCAGAAATGTTGCACTAAGAGGGAACAGTGTGGGGAACCTTGGCTACGACTCTTGCTCCAGCCAGGCTGTGGACATCTTCATAGCTCTGGGGCATGAAGGCTCTGATGCCAGCTTGGAGGTTGCAGTGGTCCTGGGGCACCCCAGCCCTGGGCCTTGGTGGCTGTGTATCTGTTGGTGGAGACCGTGTCCTTCAGCCATGCTCCAACATTATGGGGATGGCTTTGGGGACCTATTACTCTTAGTTACAGGGTCAGAGGGGCTGTATGAGGACTGGAGTGTTGGATCAGGCTCTACCCCGATCCTTGTCAGCTGGTCTACCTTGGGCTTACAGCTTCTGGGCTTCAGTTTTTTCTCACTGTAAAATGGGGTAATGGGCCCACCTATTTCCTGCACTGTTGTGAAGCTTATGGAAGAAAATCACTTTAGAAGAATTTCATGAAAGTTGGGCCTGATGGTTCAGGCCTGTAGTTCTAGCTACTGGGGAGGCTGAGGCAGAGGGAGAAGAGGTGGTGGTGCAAGTTCAAGGCCTGCATGGGCAGTGGAGTGAGTTCAAAGTCAGCTTGGTTAATGTATGAAGACCTTGTCCCAAAAAGTTGGGAGGTAGAAAAAAACCGGGTGTGGTGGTGCACTCACCTATCCCAGCACTCAGGAGGCAGAGGCAGATGGATCTCTGTGAAATCAAGGCCAGTCTGGTCTACATAGCGAGTTCCAGGCCAGATGGGGCTATAGGGAGACCCTGTGTCAAAAAAAAAAAAAAAAAAAAAAAAGGG